AGGGCTTGAGGTGGGGTTTGACTAAAGAGAAGGAAGTTATTTTCCGAGGGGAGAAGCAGAAGAGAGGGAGGGGTAGCCAGTCAAACATAACCGATGCCTGTTGCTTCAGCCGTGAAGTTTCCAGGAACAACCTGGCCCACTAAGATTTGGAAAACAGTCACGGAAAGGCCTCTTGCTAAAGGACTGATGATGTTATCTAGTTGGGTAATGAAATGTCTGCAAGTCAACCACCAACTCAGAGAGCACCAAGCACTCCAAGGCCAAGTAGCTTATCAAGGGACAATAGTAATCATTTATTAAACGCTTGACTCCCAGTGACTCAGCTGTTCCTTGGGAAGTACAGTAAGGACACACAAAGGACTAGAGACATCATAGGAAATGAGTGGCACAACACAACACTTCTTTTGCAAATGATCATCTTGTTACACACCGATAGATGTATGCCTTAGATAAAGTTCATTGAGTTGATCTTGGCTTTTCTTCAAACAGCTAAGCATGTTACATCTGATGAGTATTGGATGGGAGGTTCCAAGACAGTCCCGGGGGGCAGCATCCTTAACCGTACTATGGTGATAATTAAATATCCCTAGGGCAAAGTATAGAATTTTGTAGAATGTAGAATGATTCTGACCTGATGCATCAGGATTCTGTAAGTGTTATACAGGTAGTCCTCAGTTTAAGAAAAAGTTCTGTTCCCAAGCTCTGTCCTTAAGTCGAATTTGTATGTAAGCCGGAACAGTATCATTGTATAATACTATATAAATAGTATTGTGTAATGAACTGGCCTCTTAAGTGCTATAAATCAAATGATATATTTAGCGTGGGTTTTTTGTTCCAATATTGTTGGAGTTTCATAATGATGCTCTTTTGTTTTCTAGTTTCCTTTATGATGCTTATATCTTTTTGGGGGGGGGGGTGACTTTGAGTCAGTTTCTGACTCCTGGAGATTGCCTGGACTAGTCCCTGCAGTTTTCTTGGCAAGGTTTTTCAGAAGTGGTTTGCGCTTGCCTGCCTCTTCTTCCTAGGGCAGAGAGAGGGGGACTGGCCCAAGGTCCCCCTGTTGGCTTCGGGCCTCAGGTGGGACTAGAACTCATAGCCTTCCGGTCTCTAGCCTGGTGCCTTCACCGCTACACCAAAGTGGCTCTCCTTTACGTGCATTACATAACTGTGATTTCAAAAGGCGATACTGTAGCGTTTCAGTGGCCTGATTTCTGGTTTCCCTCTAAAAGTGAACGCCAATGTTTGGGCAAGGCTTTCTTTTTTTCCCATCCTGTGAAGCCTATTTTCAAAAAGCATAACAAGCCTTGGTTAATAATAGAATATGAATTGATATTTTAGATCCCCGTTCAGAAAAAAAAATGGGTTTATCAGTGGTGGTCTTGTTGGATATAGTGAAATTTTCTGGAGCGAGTTTTAACCAAATATGGGGATCTTTCTTTTTTTGTTAATTGGATTAAAATATGTTACTCTAATCCTTCAACCAGGGTAATTTCCTCACCGATTAAGATGCCTCATGGAACTTTTCAACAGAACCCTTAATCTCCTCTTATGTTTAATTCAGTATTGCAACCACCAGTTTTGTCTGATCAGGCCATCAAAACATAAACGTGGCTGATCTGATCACAGATTGTTAATCTATGCCAATAATACATTAGGTATTACCAATAGAAGCGAATATATCTAGCTCAGGGTTGAACTGTGGAGTCCTTGGGGCTCTCTGAGCTTGGTTCTTTTCTTGCAAACGTTTCATTACCCGGCTAGGGAACATCTTCAGTGCTAGAATGGAGTGGGGTTCGCTCGCCGTTTATATACTGTGGCATGCCCTGCCAGTGTTGGTGAGGGTGTGGGT